GCAATGACCTAAAGTATGTTGGGTTTTATTCAGGTGAAACATTACAGTGACTTCAGCTGCCTCCCTTTGCATGGAGGTCCTTCAGGAAATACCCCATTTTCCTATTTTCTTTGGATTTTCCTAGTTCCTTTGTTTTTCCTGAAATTATGAGCTGTCCTATGTATATGATACTTTATGCGAAGCCTAGAAAACCTCTGCAATAAAAACTGCAGTGGAACAGTTGGGTGATTTGACAGCAGTAATACATGGCCTATCCCCTCTCACATTATCTTTACCAATACCCTTTACTGAGCAGTACTGACCTTAGCATGCAACACAGGCCTTCTGGTGATAATCTGTAACATCTGCTTTAGATCAAAGGGGCAGTGAAAAATATTCCTTGCAAGCAGACTCTGCTCATCTTGGTTGTCTATAGCAAATTTCAAGTGGAGCTGGTGCATAAAAAAACCACAGTTGACAAAGGGTATTTTTAGCTACATACCTCTCATCTGGATATCAACATACAGAGGCTCATTTGGGTTTTGAATTTCTATCAGCAATTATTCTCCAAGCATCTCCTGAGTCCTGGAAAATTCAGTGAGCCTACCTGATGAGCATGCAATGGGAAAGTCTCTACAGTTAAATCAGGAAATGCTGTAAATGCCATTTTGGGCTGTATGTTTGATAGGTTAGATCAGTTAGTTACAACCTTTAAAGGTGGTGCTGCCACAGTTCTGAGCCCTTTTATCAAAATGCCCTTACCACTATTACATACTCTATTGCCATTCACTGGGACTATTTAATTTCTTCAGTTTGGTACTAATTTGTTTTAAAGATAAGTTTACAGACAGATAGATAGATATGTAGATAGATAGACAGACAGACAGACAGAGATATCCCAGGGTGGGTGCTGCAAATAAAACTACTCATTGCTGTGTATGCACAGTGAAGGAATTGTAAAGTGAACTTCCAAAAACCTAGGATTTATGGGATGGGATCACCTCTGAAAGAATTCTTTCTCTTTCTTGCTTGTATTACCCTAAAATACGCATTCTGAAAACATTATTTCAGATACCATTTTATTTTCTTTTCATACCCCCCTGCCCCCTCCTCCCCCCATCTGAAAAGTTAAACCTCTTCATCACCACATCCTGGTTTTCTGGAAATGCCCAAAGATTTTTGGATTTACAGGCTTGAGTTACAGAATTTCAATTAACAAGTCATCTTTTATAATTTAGCGATTATTTTGCTGCCCTGCGAAATCCAGTAGTAAAGTCTGGATTAAAAACATTAAAGAAACACTTTCAGTGCAGGTTCTGTGATTTGCCAAGGCTATGATTTCACAAAGCTATGGACCAAAAGAACTTTCCCAGTGATGGTGTTCAGTACATATGGATGAAGCACAAATTTGCCTGACATCCTGCAAATGTTTGTTGACAATGAGAAATAGCTCATTCTACTTTCTCTCACTCTCTCGTACACCTCTATTTTTGTGTGTTTGTGTGTACGCCACCAAACTCCTCAATACTCCCAGTCACTTCTGTCACTCTTCTCTGAATTCTCCAATCTCTTCTAGGAAGATGCTCAGCATCCCACTCAGTGTTGCGGCTCCTGCAACCCCAGAGTCACAGAGAGTTTTTGCAGGATTCCCACTTTGCAAGGGGACGTTTCTGTGTAAAGAGACCTGAACTGGCCACATCTCATAGTAAACTCACTTTTAATAATTTTTTTAGCTCCAAATCACCTGTGTGAGTCTGGAATCGATCAGCACCATTGAAAACCTGGACAGAGGAATGTTGTGCATGGTGCAGTCAGAAAACTGGACCCTGGTCCACTCTAAATCCAAATCCCAAATCATCTTTTCTTTTAAGATTCTTTCATCAGTGCTTTGCCTCCACTGTGCTCATCTTGTTCCATTTCAGCTCACCTCAGGATTTGTTTTAATACTCTGTTAACACCTTCATTCAGATCATTAAACAAGCCTGCATGTAATAGCAGTCTCAGCAGTTAGCCACCAACTCCAACCCAGCACATTAATGTCTATCATTGCCCTTTGTTTACAATTCAGGGAGGTTTTATCCCTGTCAAAGTAACTATCAAGACAATTATCTGAGTAATATTTCATAAATTACTCTATCTAGTGCATTACAGAAATGTAATTATATTGGTGTAAAGTGTCGGAGCTGTCAACAGAATTAGGCATGTTACATTCAAAGAAGACCTGCTGCTGTTACATCCGCTGCTTTTCTTTCCCCTAATTTTGATTGTCTGGGGCAGAGCCAGGGCCTGGGGGCAAGAAGGGTGCCTAGGCAGCACATGTATGGAGCCATGAGATACTGTGGGGCAGACACCTGGGAGAGTTACACACTGCTGCACTGGACGGGAAATGTCTATAGCACAGTGTTTCCTGCATTCCTTTCACAGATATCTGGGGTTTTCTTTTCTCAGAATCCCCTCCACTGGATAAAGTGAGATGGGAGCTTATCCTCATCCAAATATAACTGCCAGGATTGTTCCTCCCTTCCAGAGAAACCAAACTGCATCTGATTTTCTCTTCTTGTTCACATACAACTTAGAGCTTCAGTTGCCTTCTGAGAAATTTCATCCACCCTGAGGTTGACACCACTAACATGCAGTCTCTTCATTGTTCTTCCTCCACTTCTTCCTGGCCCAACCCTTAAACCACTGTTGGAAGTCTCCTGCACACTGTTCCTTTTCTGCCGTGCTCCAGCAGACAGTCTTTGTCTAGCAAGCACATCCAAGTCTGGGAGTGTGATTGAAGCTATTTGGGATTGATGGCTTCTCCCAGACACCATCTCAGCTGGCTCAGGCTCTGCAGGAACTGGCAATGTGGCTGCTCCCAATTAAACCTTACATTTGCTGCATAAACACCACAGTCCCCATATGACCTGAACCGACTGTCTTTTTCATGTTTATAATTTCCGGGAGTCCACGTCTGGTTTGGCAATTAACAGGTCTTTTATTAGATCTCCTTTACTTCCTAAATGCCCCTATTTTCCTTTCTCATTATGACATAACCTTTTTATAGTCAGATAAAACTCTTGTGCAAAATTTAGTCCCCTCACCAATTTCTGGATGTTTTCCTATGCGGCAGCCTTTTTTCAGACAGGAAGTGGCCTTCATTAAAATGTGTTGTATTTTTCATCTGCCCTTCAATCATTTCCAACTACATTTCTACTGGTTTTGTCTACTTACACCCTTTTCCTTGAAAGCCTTAGCCAATTCTTTCCTTTTATTTTGTTCTATTGGTGTAGGTTTTCTTTAATCTCAGTTCTTTTGTTTAGCTCCTTATTACAGGAACAGCTCCTTAGTCTCAACTAAGAGGATGGGGGTGATGGGGAAGAAGCATAACAAATAATATTCCTGAGATCTCAGCCTAAATCACAAAATCAAACACTTGATAAAAGCACAAGCACCTTCTCATATGAGTTGTTTAACCACGCTAAGAGAAAATATCACTCCTGGCCACTGAAGGCACTTGGCTTCCCAACCAGTGGCATGCGACCTCTGAGCACACACCTCCACTTTTATTCAGAGAGACTACTTGCTGAAATTGCTATTAAGCAGCTGGAAAAAACATGACAATCACAGAAGGGCTTTGTTCTCTGCAGAATCACTAATTCAACTTATCTCAGCCCTTCCAAGGTGTTAGAATTATTTGCTACACTAAATTCAGGAGTAACAATAAATACTTCAAGGTATTTTGTCATATCCGAGGCATTTGTCTTACCACAAGGTGTGATGCCCTTTGAGGTGACCAGAGTACAGCAGTATTGTGTTCTACTTTCCTTTGTTTTAAACACAAAGATTTTGACAGACGACTACCTAAAAAAGCCATTGCCTTTCTAAAGGAAAATTAATAGAGCATCAGATATCACATTTCAAGCCTGACTGCATTATTCAAGGTGGAAAAAACTCTTCAGTTTTATTTAAACCACTCAAGGTGTTGTTTCCAAATCTGTGGCTTGTCTCAGTTATCAAGTACAGTATCTTCTGCAATGACTTGCAAAGCTACCTCTTAAAGTAATAGAAAAATTTTAATTGAAGCAAATTCTATGAGAGAGTAATAAAAGGAAAATCTTCTTGAAAGGATTTTTGGAACATTTTGCAATCCAGCCTGGGTCTCAGTGTGGATCTGAATCTGAGGCATGAATACATTTGTATAAATGGAAAAGAAATGTGGGAAGGTCATTGAACCTACAAAAGTGTTGGGCTTACTGCATAGACTGAAAGCCCTTGCCAAAGCATTACTTTTGCTCTCTGTTTCCCTGCTCATCCATTTCAGTAAGCAAGTTTTTCACAGTGTTGAAGGTCCTTCCTGCTGCAATCAGGCTGTGTAGCCACCACTTGCTGCCTGCTGAGTCCTTGTGTTAGGCATTGGAAATCACTGGCTTTTGGGTATCACAGTGAGACATCCTGGTCTAGTACATCCTCACTGTGGGATGTACTAGACCAGGATACCTTTGCAATGTGTTTCAGTGGAGACTTCCTCACCTCAGATTTTGTTCACCAGCACTACTCCTGAAACTGACTTTTGGACTTGTTTATTATACTTGCAGCCCCAAATGAAATTGCAACAGTGCATAAGACAATCCCAAAGTTTGTCCAATCTAAACAAAATGAGAGGGGAAAAAAACCCCCACAGCTATTTTTCGTCTTTGCAGATAACTGCATTCAAGTTAGCCACTAGATAGTTTTCTTTAGCAAAGAAAAAATGGAAAGATTTTTCTGGTGTTATCATGCACTGTCCAAATAATGAAGCAGGGGAAAACTGTCCAGCTCTCATAATTTAAGCCACATAAGGATTAAAGAATTGTATTGATTTATTAATGACATATAACTCACCTGCAGTACATTCTAGATCAATAACAATTATACCGTTATTGGTATAAATAAACCAGAGATAAACCATGTCTCCTATGGGCTAAGAAATGCTCCTCCACAAGCCCCTTTACATGCACTTTGAGTGTGGGTTCCCACTTCTTGTGCCTCATCCAGCCATGGCGCCTGTTGAGCACCAGCTCCACGAGGAATTCCATAAGGATGATGATCTGTTTGAGGCAAGTGGTGATAGCAATGCTGACAGGGCAGATTCTGGAAGTGTCAAACCAGGTGTGACTACTGAGGGTTACCCTTCAAGGTATTTCCCCCAACCCAATTTTCAGCTTCTTTTATACTCCTTTTCAGGCTGACTCCTCTCTTCTTTCAAAGCTCTCTTCGAAGTCCCCTGGCTATTGTTTAATCCATTGATTGTTGTTCTTCCTCTTTAATAGCATTGGATTGGGGCTTATGGTTGTCTTCAGGCCATTTGCCAAGCATGGGCTGTGCAAGCACCTACACAGTTAGTTTGAAAAGTACAGTGAATATTTATCTCTTCCCTGGTAATTTTTTATTGTTTAATGTAATTTACAATTTAGTTTGGTATCTTGGGGAATGCTTGAAACTCTGCACTCACCTGCACATTTGTTTCTCATTTAAGTAGAATTAATGGCAGCCACTGAATTAAAGGTTGCTATTGTCACTTCTGCTAATTACACAAAGATAAACACCTGTGGCCAAGCCCAGCACATCGAGTTGCTAAACTATAAGACATAAGCCACAGATGCCTATTACTGTCCATCAGCTTGGCTGCACCCTACTGGACTGCACAAAGAGTGGGGAGCTGAGGAGCCCTTTGCTTCCACACTTGCCCTTGTTTCCAATGTACATCGAGCACAGAGCCAGTGCAGGTTGTCAAACTCTACTGAAATCTCTTCAGCAGCTTTAATTGTCATTTATTCCAGTGGAGGGTTGTGTTCCAACTTCAGAAAAGCATCAGCTGCACTTGGCCTTTATCAACTCATGTTTTCATGCTTCCTATCAGAAACCTGTGACTCCAGAACTAGCCCATGTCATGGGATTGTTGTATTCTGCTACCTTGTGATCTTCTGCCCTCCTAATGTGGGCTTTGAGCTCCTTTTTACCACTACATGAACTAAAAGCAAGATGCTTTCCCTTTTGCTTCTGAACCATGTGCAGATTTTTTCTCCTGGTCCTGTCCTGTTGGCTTCATGGCCCATGCTGGGAAACCAGCACAGACTACTCAAGCCACCTGAAGTTCATCTGCAGAGCTCCATTGTGGGACAGGTCTGAAACCAAGGAGAGTGCACGGGCAATATTATGAATATTTTCCTTGGTACTTACAAAGTTTCGATATGGCACAGTGGAGCAAATATTGGCTTGCTTTGGTAACCAGGCTGCTGCAGGTAGGAAGGGCAGCAGTCTGAATAAGAAACAGTCAAAGAGGGAGGGGGAAAAAAAGAAACTGAGATAAAACAATTAGCTATTGTCTGCAAAATGGGAATATCAGAGCTCCAAACCAAGTTAAATAATGGTGTAACCAAGACTGAAAGCTTGCTCCCCAAAGTTATTAAAGAGTTATACAGTTTCCTGAAGAAATCAAAAGAGGTGATTCATCAGCAACTGGTTGCAGAAAGACCAGCGGAGACACTGACAAAATAAGTTATATAATGACTTGCTTGGGTAAGTCTTGAGGAACCTGAATTTTAAGATAAAATAACTGAGTTGGGAGGGAAGGAAAAGGATAAAGGTTCTGCTTGTTTCAATCTTGTTCTCTCTGCTTGTTATATTTCTATGAATAAATAAATCACAGTAGTCTGGGAAACTGTTGTGCTAGATTGTTTTCATACCAAAAACCTGGAGGGTGGCAAATTGGTGTGATGACAATTTTGAAAAAGACTCTGGAGGAGATTTGAGGAACTCTAGGTCTGTGATCCTGATGCTTCTGCTAGGCAAATTAAATGAAAGTATAATGAAGATTAGAATTAGTGGGCACTTGAAGAAAAATTATCTAATTGAGCAGAATAATCAAGGTTTTTATGAAGAGAAATATTGCCTTATGAACAAGGTCTTTAAATGATTGAACAAGAGTATGGATGGAGATTATCAAGGTCATTCTAACTGCTTGGATTTCCAAAAGACTTGACTAATCCCATTGCCAAAGATCATTTAGGGAACTACGCAACAACAAAGCAAGGAGGACAGTACTTTTATGGATGACTAAATGGCAAAGAGATAGAAAACTAAACAGGAGCAATTGTTTGCTTTTCAGACTGGAGGGAGATATTTTGGTATTTGACATAAAAAGGGAAAGAGCTGGAAGAGTAGGTGGGTAATAGGTTGGTGTGATATTTCTGATGAAACTAAGTTACTTAGGGTTGTAAGGATCAAGTCAACAATGAACAAAGATGGACATACTGTAATGTTATGTTATGTGAATTAATAAAGAAATAAAGCAACATGATTAAGAGAGTACCCTCACTGAAACAAGGCTCTTGCACAATAAAATGTTACATTGGACACTTAGAGATTAATTTTACAGTGGGATTTGAAAATGGAAGACATTTAAAATGGCATTCTGAGGTTCCACATTTGTTATAGCTTAATTACTTTCAGATCAAACACATTGCTTCTGTCAGTAGAGATGTACTCTGCTAGCCCTGGAAATTCTGCCTGCTTTCTAAAACTCAGACTAGATTATCTTCTCATTATGTCTGCTTTGATGTCTATGGAAAATCAAGCTGGGAATTCACTCAAGATTCATCAGCACTAAGATCCCCCAGCTGTGCTTTTCTAAAATTTGTGCACAACTCCATGACCCCATGTTCAGTGATCACAATTATGAGAATGCCCTTAAGGGATTCAACACATTCAGTGTTATTGATATTATGTAAACAAGGTGCTTGAAGAACTGAAACACATAAAAGAGTATTTCTACCACAAAATAGGCAGATCTGACAGCAGGCTCACAGGAATGATCTCTGTATAAGAAGATGGCATTTTTACATATCTGCTTTCCAGAGCATGACTGCACAATAATTCTTTTTGACAATAAATCAGATTAATGCACTCTGATATATTCTGTAAAACTAATGAAGCCATAGCAAAGGCAGGTAGAACAACAGCATTTGCTGTTAAATCCTCAGTGATTAGTTAATTATAGAATTAAGAACTATAGAATTATAGAATTAAGGAATTTTTCCATTCTCCTGCTAGTACAGACAAACTCTCATAGGCTTTGGGGAAAAATTATTTTGGACTTAATGAATCATAATTTTTAAAAATAGAATAAAACCAACTAGTTACTAGAGTTCCTTTGTAGTACAAGATGGCAGATCTTTTATAGAAAGAGACAAATTATTGTGTTTAAAGAATCAATATGTGTACACCTGCTAAACTGATTTGTTTACTGTGAGCAGTTTCTTTAAATGCCAGCTGTTGTTTTCAGTGTGATGGTAGTCACAAAGGATGCACAGACATTTTAGCTCCTTCACAGAGCCTTAAGAACATTTATTCTGGCTGGTTTTAACCCAAGAAAGAGCTGTCTGATGAGAAAGCGTGTTTTGCTCACATTTGTAATTTTAAATGTGAGGATAAACCAGTTGCATATTCCTTTTTGTTGGATGCCTTCAATTCAAGACACAATATTCATTTTGTCTTCCTGAATCAAGAAATCTCTTTCTAAATCCAGAAGCACCCAAATTTTGCCTTTTAAGTCCCTGGGGGTTTTCTTAAGGGACAATTATTTCTAAAACTGTATTTCTATTACTGAATGTAAATGCTGTATTGTGCCATCAAGAGCCAAAACTCACATCTATCCAGAGTGCTGGACAGTTGAAACACTAAGGGGATGGCTCAGCAGCTTGGCAGATTGTAGGTTCATACTCTGTCAGTCTACTTTCCTAAGCTTGCTAACCCTGTGCTAGTTCACACAAAAAGACACAAAACCCACATACAATGCTGACATACCATCAGTGTGTTCTAGTAGTAGCACCACTTTGAATTTGGTATTTGGCACTAATAGAAGATAAGTCATCCTAACACCTTCAGCACAGGCTGGTGAGCCAGGAATTTCTTATTTCTCTTGCAGTGTTGTTGTTCTCTACATCCCTGCACAATTCTGCAACCTCATGTGATTAAGCTAACTTGATGTGTGACTTGACACAGGCTCACTGAGAGCAGAGGACTAGAAAGGAACTTGTCCCCTCTAATACTCTGCATAGTATTCACTGCTCTTTCACAATAGATTAACACTTTTCAGAGAAAGATGAACCCAAGGATGAAGGATGTCTCAGTCCTCATACACACAATTATTGAGAATTAAACCAATTTGTCTGTTGAAATGCAGTTTTTTCTCATTACAGAGATTACAGACAAAAAGTGCATCCATTTCAGGTTTTAAATTAATCTTCTCAGTGATTTAAAAATGTTAAATGGTCTTGAGGCATCCATGGTGTGAATGTGCCTAGAATGAAAAAGGTTAGATTCTTTCAGAGTAAGTTTGCAACCAGTTCACAAGATGTAAGTTTGTTTAGTCATCAAATCCAAAATAAGTGTCATGGAGAGCTTCATTCCTCACTGATTGCTAAGCAAATGTGGCATATACCCCTTCTTGGGCAAACAGAGAAATAAACATTTGAATGTGACAATCAGTAGCTGGCAATTTTTACAAATTTTACATGAGATGGTTTGGTTTCAAAGCCATCAGAGGAGATAAATGCCTTTTGTCTCTACAAAACCTCGTAGCATGGTCTCCCACCATGGAGCTATCACTCTGAGGAAAAAAAATCAAACAAACCCAAAACACAAAAACACCTACTACAAATCTAGGCAGATCTACACTACATTGTGGTCACTGCAGTAATTGTGGTTCATTCCCAAGCACACTGCAGGCTGTATAGACAAAAAGGATAACAAGGATGTTATTGCCTCCTGCTATTATTCCTCAATTGAGGAAATGAAGGATTAATCCTAGACCACCAAAGTTGATTAATCAGTAATTCAGTGGAAGTGTGGGACTAATTATCTCTGAGGATTGAAGCCAAAGTGGTTGCTAAAGGTCATCAGGAAGTCTTTGACCAGTCTGTGCAGAAAAGAAACTAAGAATATGATAAATATGCATCCAAAAATACAACAAAACACAATCTCTGATTTCTGTTTACAGCATTTAAGCATCCTGAGAAGTTCACTTTGATGATAACCTCTCTGATACTTTGAATACAGCAACACGAACAACTGGCAGGTGACACAAACTGTGACTGCCACTGCAGTGA